AACTATGTAACTTCGTCCAGTTCGGCTGATGAAACGTTGGCAAACCTGGATGTTGGCACGGCCGGATTCAAACACACCTGGAGGTCTGCACTGAAGAGTCCTGGCTTCCCTTTTCCTCATCCTCTCCTGACGACCACTCATAATTTAATTCAAATGTAATTTTGGGGAAAATATCCATCTTCTTGGTGTAACGCTATAGTGTCAGTTTGCGTCAATGTAGCGAGTGTGACAGTTGGTTAATTAACGGTTGTATTTATATTTATAACACCTGTGAGCAGAGTGATTTTACTGTTACATGTCCCAGTGATGACGACTCTATATCAGCACTTACGGAATGCCTCTCGTCCAATCAAATTACTCGGTCGGAACTAACTGTTATATAACTGTCTTGTTTCACATCTGTTTCTTTGGCAGGTTTGAATGGCCAGGCTCTGGAGTCCATTCCCTCCACTTCAGTGTTGAAAAAACCTGGAGAAGACCTCAGTCTCTGCTGCAGGGGAACTGGATTTACTTTCAACCAGTATGGAATGCACTGGATCAGACAACCTGCAGGGAAAGCACTGGAATGAATGGGGGTTATTTGGCATGATGCAAGTAAAACAATTTATGCAAGCAGTGTGCAAGGACATATAGAAATCACCAGAGATAATAACAACAGCATGGTGTATCTGAGACTGTCCAACCTAAAGCCTGAGGACTCTGCTGCGTATTACTGTGCCAGACACACACTGAGCAGAGAGGCTTTACAAAAACCTAAAACCTCTGATGTTTACAATCACCAGCAGGGGGCAGCAAGAGATTATCTAAAATAATATGTCAAACCAACATCATACCTCCACATACCGAGAAAAAAAATAAAACACTGTGAAAGCACCAGCAGAGGCTGTGGTTTGTGACTTCTTCTTTTTTATGTTTTTCACCAACATGTGCTTTTCTATAACAATGTACTGGTTAATAATATTCCCATCTGTTATTTTGTAAGGCAGGTGTGAGGCATTTTCTGTTATATTTCATCTATTGAAAAAAGAAACCATAATACTTATATAATGATCAAAATTATCCAAATTCAACCCATAATGAATGAAAAAGGTGTTAAGGACAAAACTAAGACATAAGCATTAGGCCTTATCCAGCAGGGAGAAAACAAACTCTACCTGTGTACAGACTCAATGTGTGCTTTTAGGGCAGGCGTTATTTAGAGAGGCCAAGTCCATTTCATCCCTGATCAGTTTAATCTGAACAAATAGCTGTTACAGGAGCGGCTGATGCAAAAATAATTTCCATACACAGGTGAGTTCATACATTTACATGTTTTCTTATTACAGGTGTCAAATATAATGAGCTGCGTCACCAAACATCTCTGACAGTCCATCAAGTTCAGACTCCAAATGTTACCTGCCAGTCTTTGAGTTAATGTTTCAAAAAAACAGAAATGAGTAAAAAATAAAAGAAGCCATATAATTCCGAGCTTTGTCAAAGGACAGTCATTGTCACTGTCATTTTATAGCCTGTCAGTGTCCTTCACTATGCAAAGTGAACTTCCTCACTGTCTGCTATAAAGACTTGATATCATGCTGTCAGCTGCAGCAGAAGAAGAGAAGCTCCCATCAGATCAACTTCAATGCCAACCATGTTCTCTGTAGCTCTGCTGCTGTTGGCTGCTGGATCCTGTGAGTCTCACTGAGGCAGAGACACTGACAGTATGATCACAGCACACTGACTGTTCACTCTTATTACACTCATTCAATATTCAACATGTTTTCCTCCACAGGTGTGAAGTGTCAACAGTTGACACAGCCAGCCTCTGTGACTGTGCAGCCAGGTCAACGTCTGACCATCACCTGTCAGGTCTCTTATTCTGTGGGCAGCTATCCCACAGCTTGGATCAGACAGCCTGCAGGGAAAGGACTGGGGTGGATTGGATATAGCTGTGCTGGATGCACCACATCTTACAAAGATTCACTGAAGAACAAGTTCAGTATCAGCTTAGACTCTTCCAGCAAGACAGTGACTCTAAACGGACAGAATGTGCAGCCTGAAGACACTGCTGTGTATTACTGTGCCAGAGAGCCACAGTGACACAAAGCATCAGTAGACCTGAATAAAAACCCCTCAGTGCCTGAACACTTGTTACATTAAGCCACCAGAGGAGGAGCCCTCAGACCACTAATGATTTCAACACCAGCTCACTGTTACAGTACAGAGAGAAATATAACATTAATGTATTGTATCCCACATTCATAAAATAACTGTGCTTTCACATATTTCAACATAGTATGTAAAAAATTAAGTAATAAAAAATCTTTAAAAGTTTATCAACTTAAAATAATTGAATCTTTATCAAGTCAGTTTTGCTCCCAGGACATCATTACTAGGATACAAACAATAAAACAAAACACAATAATTATTAGAATCAGTCAGTTGTGGTGTGGAGGAGGTTGGTGATGTAAGGAGGGGCCTGGTCATGGAGGACTTGTTCAATGTAGAGGGAAAATTTAAAGTGTGTCTGTTGGACAAGACTGATGAGGTTGCAGGAGTGAGTGAGTAGCTTTGTTCTGAATGTATTGGAGTCGCAGGACTTTGGAGGGTGTACAATAAAGACTGCTATTACAGCAGTCAAGTCTGGATGTGATGAAGGCAGTGATTAGGTGATTCAGCAGCAGAAAGACAGAGATGAGTGGAGATAAGTTTTGTTTTGCAACTTGAAAAATGCAGTTCTGTTGATGAACTAGGCATGGTGTTTGACAGAGAAGTCAGTGTGTAAGATTACTCCAATCATGTAGATGTATGGTGAGATATGACTGAAGCAGGGAGAGGGCAGTACAGGTGATGATGAGAGAAGAGTCATGTTGCTGAAATGTGAAACAGGTTCATTCAGTGTTCCTGTAGTTTTTGTCCACCACCTGTCTCCTTCCTGATACAAATCCCTTTCAGTCACTCCTGATGATCTCGTAGAAACAGAAACAACCCAGGAGACATTGTAAAAAAATAAATGATAATACTTGCAAAGAGGGCTGACTTTGTCAAACTTTGATTAATAAAAATGCCCATGTAACATCCTCTTCTCTTGTATTTGAACAATATCTGAGCCAAATATATTAGCTCCTCCTTTTAGAAATCCCAATGCAAATCCAGAGTTTTCAGAAGGTATACTTCTGTCCTCCCACTGGCTTCTTGGTTAGTGTGTAGCAGTTCACATCTTCAGTCTCAAGATGATGGACAAACTGTCTGTTCTGCTGACAGCGCTCTGTCTGCCCTGTAAGTTACTTTATGCTGCAATACNAACGAGAATTGAACCTTTTTTGTCAGTTTCACTTCCAGAACATCATTCCTGGGAAAAACAAAAAATAAAATAAAACACAGCTATTATCAGAATCAGTGTTGAGGTGGAGGAGTTTGGTGAGGTTGGTGAGGTAAGAGGGGGTCTGGTCGTGGAGGACTTTGTGAGTATAGAGAGGGAATTTTAACTTCACCTGTTGGACAAGAGTGATGTGGTGCAGAAGTAAGTGAACAGCATGGGGTCATGATGTACTGGGGTTCAAGGACTTTGGAGGGTGTATCATAAAGACTACTAGTGCAGTAGTCAAGGCTGGATGTGAAGAAGGCATCGATCAGGTGATTCAGCAGCAGAAAGAGAGAGATGAGTGGAGATAAGTTATGTTTTACAACTGGAAAATTTCAGTTTTGGTGATGAGACAGGCATGGTGTTTGGAGGAGAAGTCAGTGTGTAAGATTACTCCAAACATGTGGATGTATCATAAGGTATGACTTTAGAGAAGACTCAAGGTGTTGAAATATTAAAAAGGAGTGATGAGACTGCAAGCATGATTTCTGCTGTTCTGAAAAAAACGTTGCTGAGGTCCTAAAAATTTCAGATAACTTAGAAACATTAAATTGGAAAAATGTCATAGAAGCCTTAAATGTACCAGCTTAGAATGATTTATAGTTAACATTCATACTATCTTTCAGCCATTCTTATTCTTGAGGGTAGTGGGGGTTCTGGAGCCCAATAATAGAGCTCTTTGTCATTTTCATCAAACAAAAACTGAATGACAATCCGAATCTAGTTGTTTCCTCCCTGTGAGGAGGAGTCAATGCAAAACTCAGATATCTTCCACCTCTACTTATCTGACTGCAGAGAGGAGGACAGAGAACAGTGGACACACAGTTTAACATGATGGACTATAGGACAGGACTGCTGCTTTTAACTATGTGCTGGGCAGGTGAAGATTTTACCTGATCTTGAGCTGACATAGTTCTTAACAGTGCACCAGCTAAATTCATGTGACTCTTTTGAAAATGTCTTGACAGATGTTGATGGTCAGAATCTTACAGAATCTGAACCAGTGATTAAAAGGCCTGGAGAATCTCACAGACTGACCTGTGCAATGTCTGGATTTTCACTTAGTAGCTACTGGATGGCCTGGATCAGACAGGCTCCTGGAAAAGGACTGGAGTGGGTTGCAGCTGATGCTGGTGGTAGCAGCCAATACTACTCTCAGTCAGTTCAAGGCCGGTTTACCATCTCCAGAGACAACAGCAGACAGCAGGTGTATCTGCAGATGAACAGTCTGAAGACTGAAGATTCTGCTGTTTATTATTGTGCTCGAGAGCCACAGTGACACATGAAGCAGCAACACTGTACAAAAACACAGCATGTAAAACAAGTCACAACCCTGCATTTCAGATTCACAGAAATAAATTTAGCCCAGCATCATTAACACGCACGCATAAATATCCAAGTGCTTAATTCAGACAAGTGTAATTGAAGCTCTCCCATATATGTTATTATTGCAGACATTAAATAGTCTGTTGATCTGTGTGTAAATCTAAATACTTTAATTTGACTCATCTGACGAAGCAGCTTTGTGGAAAAAAAGGGAAAACAATTCATAGTTATTGTTTTATATCATGAATATGTTTTCTTTCATGTGTATCAAAATACATTTTACATAAGACGATTCCAAGTTCTGACTACATGTGACAGGACAGTCCTTTTTTCTAATACTCTTTCAGTGTCCTTCTCTATGCAAAGTGAACTTCCTCACAGTCTGCTATAAAGACTTGATATCATGCTGTCAGCTGCAGCAGAAGAAGAGAAGCTCCCATCAGATCACCTTCAATACCAACCATGTTCTCTGTAGCTCTGCTGCTGCTGCTGCTGCTGGCTGCTGGATCCTGTGAGTCTCACTGAGGCAGAGACACTGACAGTATGATCACAGCACACTGACTGTTCACTCTTATTACACTCATTCAATATTCAACATGTTTTCCTCCACAGGTGTGAAGTGTGATCAGTTGACACAGCCAGCCTCTGTGACTGTGCAGCCAGGCCAACGTCTGACCATCACCTGTCAGGTCTCTTATTCTCTCAGCAGCTATCCCACAGCTTGGATCAGACAGCCTGCAGGGAAAGGACTGGAGTGGATTGGATTTGACTGTGTTGGATGCACCCAGTTCATAATAGATTCACTCAAGAACAAGTTCAGTATCAGCTTAGACTCTTCCAGCAAGACAGCAACGACAGAAAAACCCCTCAGTGCCTGAACACTTGTAACATGAAGCCACCAGAGGAGGAGCCCTCAGACCACTAATGATTTCAACACCAGCTCACTGTTACAGTACAGAGAGAAGTATTACATTTATGTATTGTATCCCACATTTATATAATAATTGTGCTTTCACATATTTTATTTTAAAAATTTAAGTATTAAAAAAAATGATTTAAAGGTTTATCATCTAAAAAAAGAAAATCTTTATTAAGTCAGTTTCACTTCCAGGACATCAATACTGGAAAACAAACAATAAAACAAAACACAATTATTATTAGCATCAGTCAGTTGTGGGAAAGAGTGTGGGAGTGGAGGAGGTTGGTGATGCTGGTGAGGTAAGGAGGGTGTCTGGTCATGGAGAACTTGTTCAGTGTAGAGGAGAACTTAAATTGTGTCTGTAGGACAAGAGTGATGTGGTTGCAGGACTGAGTGAGTAGCTTTGTTCTGGATGTACAAGAGTCTCAGGAGTTTGTAGGGTGTACAATAAAGACTTCTATTACAGCAGTCAAGTCTGGATGTGATGAAGTCATCGATCAGGCGATTCAGCAGCAGAGATGTGTGAAGATAAATTTTGTTTTAGAACTTGAGAAATACAGTTTTGGTGATGAGATAGGCATGGTGTTTGACGGAGAAGTCAGTGTGCAAGATTACTCCAGTCATGTGGATGTATGGTGAGATATAACTGAAACAGGGAGAGGGCAGTATAATTGATGATGAGAGAAGATTCAAGTTGCTGAAATATGAAACAGGTTCATTCAGTGTTCCTGTAGTTTCTGTCCACCACCTGTCTCCTTCCTGATACAAATCCTTTTTTAGACACTCCTGATGAGCTCATGGAAACAGAAACAACCCAGGAGACATTGCAAATAAATAAATGATACTAATAATACTTGCAAGGAGGGTTGACTTTGTCAAACTTTGCTCCAATAATATAGTTGTTTGAATGAATCAAAACCACAAAGTACTGTAGCAAGTGAATCCATTTGTCAGGGAAACCAGTGCTGTAAAGACACCCATGTAACATACTCTTCTCTTGTATTTGAACAATATCTTATATTAGCCCCTCCCTCAAAAAAATCCCAATGCAAATCCAGAGTTTTCAGAAGGTATACTTCTGTCCTCCCACTGGCTTCTTGGTTAGTGTGTAGCAGTTCACATCTTCAGTCTCAAGATGATGGACAAACTGTCTGTTCTGCTGACAGCGCTCTGTCTGCCCTGTAAGTTACTTTATGTTGCAATACCAAGATAAACATTGCAAACATTTAATGTTCTGTGCCCTCTCATTCTCACTTGTCTCTTTTCACATCTGTTTCTTTGACAGGTTTGAATGGCCAGGCTCTGGAGTCCATTCCCTCCACTTCAGTGTTGAAAAAACCTGGAGAAGCCCTCAGTCTCTCCTGCAGGGGAACTGGATTTACTTTCAGTCAGCATGGAATGCACTGGATCAGACAACCTGCAGGGAAAGCACTGGAATGGATTGGGACTATTTGGAGTGATGCAAGTAAAACAAGTTATGTCAGCAGTGTGCAAGGACGTATA